GTGCTGTGTCACGGAGGACACACAAATGGACATATACAGCAGGCTATAAAAGGAAGTGTGTTTTATCAGCAGTCAGAGTGTGTGGGGGGTGTTTATGTGTTCACGGGAGATGGATTCTGTCAAAGACTCAAGCTTCCTTGTCTCATTTATCATCTCCACGACATAGAGCTAATGTATTATTCTATTATATTAGAACGTTTCTCTGCTGAACACTTGGATGAAGACAGAACTGTGCTTTAAGCTGAAACAACCAGATCTTAGCTCTGATGTGAGTTTTGCATTTTTAAATACAAAAGAAAACTACTCTCCACCGAAACCATGTTGTATTAAATGACAGGATAGGGTATTATCATATCTGCTTAAGCCATGCTTGTACAGCGTGTAGCTGTAGCAACAGAAGAGCTGCCCCAGAGCTGCGGAGGATACAGTGTATAACTTTACATTTCTCTGCACCTTTGCCAGGATAGTAGCCTCAACCTGGGACCTCGCATTCCTGAGAAAGTGCTCATTGATATTTGAGAGCTGTGTTGTCTTCTCAGCAGCATGAGCAGTGGACGTGAGGCCAGAATATGTGAGACTGAGCCGCGTCTACTTCACACTGATGATCAGTTTGGGAGTCACTGTTCAACAACTGATGCACCTGAGGCAGGTCAGCAGCACAGGTGGGACAGTAAACTATTATTCTTGACTTTGGCCCTCATTAGAGGTCTGCAGGTATGATACTGCAAAGGTAGAACCACAGGAACGTAAACACACTCAAGGATGGATAAAGGAGTGTATTCCCCAGGACTTCACTTCCATCTCTACTCTAGAGTGGAGTTGTTGTCGTCATAGGAGACGGTAACAGGAGCCTCCCGACGAGAGGGCAGAGAAACAGAGACATACTGGAGTCACTGTGTGTGTGTGTATGTGAGAGAGAGAGAGAGAGAGAAAGATAGGTCTGTTCCTCCAACTTCTGACTCTACCCTGAGGTCAAGAAACCTGTTGAAATTGAATCCAGACCAAAAACCACAGCAACATTGTTTTGTTTAATAAATGTCATCCTGATGATGGGACTTGTATTTGCAGCTGCAGTTTTATTTATTTTTATTTTTAATTTACTGTATATATTTCTTTCTATGTTTTATTTTCACACATTTATCTCTACAGGAATAGATTTGTTTCCAAAGCAGATGCAGAACTGGGTCAGAACTTTAAGTCTGGAGATCAATTAGTGGATGGTGTGCTGAGCCACTGACAAAAACTGGTCTTAGACAGAAAAATAAAACCTGCCTCCAAACTTTAATTAGACAAAGATCGGAGAAAAAATAAAGTTCTTAAATGGGAAAACAGGCACGTGTTCAAGTCAACCTATTTGCATAGAGTAATGGAGCCGTGGGATCAATAGGCTGAAATCTATGCTGACATCTAGTGGTCAAAGAGGGTAATGTAAAAATAAAACATTTTAATAGTATTTTAGTGTTTTAATATAATTGCACATATAAACCACGTTTAATAACTACTTAGTAAAAATGTGTATGTTGATGCAGGTTTGTTTTCAATGCTACAATATTTAAATTATTAACTATTGTAACATCTATCTCTGTTCTATGCCATATCTTTCAGCTATGTTTCTGAACGAAACAAATGTGTAACAACAGGGTAAACCCACTTTATTGTCGTCATGCTCTTACTCATCTCCATTTCAGGGTCAGTCACTCTGACTTGTCTAAAAAAGAACAGAGCATCATAAGCGGCTCACTCAGAGGATCATCATATCACTGCACTGACCTGCTCATCTTAAGACCTGCTCACCAGCTCTAATATATTTAAGCCTCTGTCTCAAACACCCCACTTAAAGCACCAAGTCCAGACACATCCTGGTTTCCAATGTCACAGTTTTACTGCTAATTTCCAATGTTGTTTATACATTCGTACGCTGTCACGTGTGCTCAAAAACACAAGATTCACACCAAAAAGAAAATGGCTAACTAAGTTACAAGACCTCACCGTGGTCAGTTATTCACAGTCATCTTTCCCTGATCAAAGTGAGCGACTGGGAAAGAAAGATCCAAGTGGATTCACATGTTTGTGCAGGTGGTGACCAGGATGGCTGACCTGGTTCCTCTGTCTGACAACAACACTCTAAATCCAACTGAATCTTTCCCACTCTAGCTCTCAGAATTGACCGTTAACCCAACAGGTCATTTCACACTACTCTAACAAATATGTACAACTTGTACAGTATATACAAAATGTGCAAAAATGCATAGTTTAGTCATGAAACATTTCAAATAGTCATGTCTGAAAAGTTTTGACCTTCTGATATTTGGCTCTACATATATCTCATATGTTTAAACAATAAAACTGTCACCTTCATTTTAGCAAAAATAATTTCCCTGCAAGGTCAGCTAAGCTGCATTTACGAACATATATTCAAACACAAAGTGTTTTTAAACACATTATTGGACACTGTGGAGTAATAGATAAAGGATCTGGAGTAATTATATTAAATACCAGAACAGTGCAACATCTGAACCACACAGGTTCAATGTGTGTGTGTGCACACACAGTCACCTGTTGAGATAATATTCACTATTATCTCAACAGGTGACTAGACGGCTTGTAGTGCAGTGTCAGTTGGCGAGAGCTGTATCCAGACATGCCGATCCCCATGAAGCCCAGCAGGAAGGCCATGCGAGGCATCACTGGACTTTCTCTCCTCTGCAGCACAGTCTGAGCCGCCTGTGTCTGGAAGAGACAGCATTTATCATCAGACAACCATCATGAGCACAACTATGACCCATGGTGGGATTATAAATGATGGGGCCTCGGGATATATACAGGGGAGTGACAGTCAGTGGAGTTTCAAAAGCTGACCATAGTCAAATCCATTTCTATGAAGTAACTCACTTAGCCGGGGACCTGGTCAATCAGGAATATCTAAATAATTCGCACTCAAACTGTCTGTTTTTGAAATACAAAAATAAATATCAATAATGATGATATTAATAATAAATACAAAAATACAACCAAGCAGAAAGGCCACATCACTATGAGCTCTTTAGTCTCAGGTCATTGTTGTTGTTAATGAAGTTTGACACGAGTCACAGGGTGCACTGAGCTATTTCTCCAGAGATCCAATTACAGGGTATTTAGCTGGCCCAGGGGAACTAAGGTAGCTGTGGTTAAATTCCATTCAAAGACAGGCTGCTATAATCTTCCATGTGAATACATGGCATGGGCACAGGGTTTATACATGAACAGCAATACTGCAATAAGACTACATTTTAAATGGCATTTGAAATCTGTAAAGTGATACTTGTCAAAAGAATTAAAAAAAAAATAAAACAGCACCAAACATTTGTACGTGTTATCGTCACCATCATTCTGGTCAGTTGTCGCTTCATGTTTACGCAATCAAAAAAATAAAAAATCAACTATCACAAAATCCATTTACAGAAACCCATTGTTAAGTCTCTTTACGCACCTGGAGGTATCTAATATATCCAGGCGTCAGACGAGGGATGTAAAAAAACATTGTGGTATTCTCCCGTGGATCACAGCTGAGACCACAAGCCCCCCTTTTGAAACCGTGCCTCAGGGGTTTTGCTAAGCAACTTTGTCACAGCGAATCCCTGCACTGCGTCTCAGTCCTCTACGTTAAAGCTGAACAGCAACAACAGCAACAACACACTCCCTCCTTGGTCTAAACACTCCTCAGCCCCTCACTCAATCAAACTGAAACGCCGCCGTACTCTTCTTCAAAGGCTGTATATAAAGCCTTGGCTGCGTTGCATAAGAGTCACATGTTGTCGACGTGGGGTTTTGTGTCCCCCATGTGGACGTGCATTTGTGTCAGTGCAGGATTAGCAGAGTCACTGTAGTTTCAGATTAGTATACCCGTGTTGGAAAAATAAACTAACAGTGGTGCAAGAAACTGCAGATCAATGATTAGATTAATTAGATTAATGACCACAGGGTCTGCTGTACATTAGGTAGAGCCACATTTTAAGGTGCAGTCAGAAATCTGGGTAAAAAATTGTGTAGACAGGTTGGCTCCACAAAGACCCACTAATAGAATCGTCACTTCCTTATTTTCTTCCAAACTCTTCCTTAATTCTGTACTCATGGGGAAAAGTCTACATGTTGTTTTCACGAACAGCTCAGGATCCTCCAACTACCATTCCAAGAACGGATTAACCCAATCTAACACGAATGAACCAGTGGTTAAAAATACACCTAATCTCTTTATCAGTGAGGCAATCCAACTACAATCCTATTTAAAGTGTCCCGTCATCAAAAAGACATTTTCCCCATTAATAAAGTGTTAAAGATGTTATTGAATACAGAAAGATGGGGGTAAAAAGGTTGTGACTGTGACTGAAATAGAAAACGCTCATTTAAAGCCAATTGGAAAAATGTGAGCACTTGGGGGTTTTGACTGTTTTTTCCCCCTCAATAATTAATTATTAATTAATTAATAATTTTAATTTAGACACTCACTGTAGTTCTTTAAAAACTAAAATAGTAAGATTGGTTTCAATGAGTAAACACATTCTCCAAACACATTCGAACATTGGTCAACGAATTCTATAGGTCGTTTCAGCAAACCAAAATAAATGAGGTTCTCCTCGACTTACACACACTGAAGTCTAAGCTATGTAGCTTACATTAATAAACGTAGTCAACACGTCCAATGTAGAGAAGAAAAAGCCAAAAGGTACCTTTCTATTTCAGTCGTTCATCTGGAGCGGGTTGAGTCGCCATTGTGGAATAACTACACACCTGTGGCAGTGGACTTTTTCGACGCCACAACCTTTGCATGTTTGTACCAGAAAACAGCGTGATTGGCGGACCCCTGCCCACAGCAGTGGTTTGTTTTATTTTGTGCCGTTGTTTTTAGGAAAGGAGCAATAAATCAATCAATTAGACAAAGTTTAAATTTTTTATTACCAAGGAACAAATTCTCTAATAATGTGCAGTTAAATTAAATCTTAAAATAAATGTTTATGTGGAGTGTGCAACAATTAACTTTTAAAATATAAACTTAATAAGTACAGAACTTTTAACTGTTAACTGTTTTAATTTTTTAAAGAACTATTCCGTGTATTAAATCAATGCAGGCTTACACAACGTAAAATAAAAAATGTATTTATAAAAAGAAAACGTTAAAATACGTAGATTAGAAACTTAGTTAAAAGGTTAAAAGACAACATTGTCAACAGGCGGTGTCTAGTGGCCCTATATACCTACGTCATTACAGTGTAACAACGTCATCAGAAGAGGACGGGCCCTGGTAGTTGCAAAAACATAACGCGCGTTATTTTTCATTTGGAGACATTTTGTAAATAAAGACCCTAGGGGATATTATCAACATATACGGGACTAAGGTGGTGACCGGGCTGATGTTGAAGAGTGAAACAGTTCATCCGAGCTGGTAATTATCTGCTGGTTAACATGAAAAGCTAACTGCTATGCTGCTGCAGCTACGCAGTTTCACTGTAAACTCTCACAGTGACACTGAACAGTCCGTTTATTTCTGCTCGTTTCCACATGCAATTAAATGGTTTGAACAGTGTGTGGCAATAGGTAGCAACAAATAAAGCGATGTGTAACACAATATATTTGCGTCAAGTTGTTTGTTGTGAAGTCAAAAAGAAACTAAACTGCTTTATAACTGTTGTATTAATTTTGCATTCAATTCCATGTAAAACTTGTTAAGGAGGGGAAAGGTTTTAAATGAGTAGAGAACATAATTGGAAGATAGGTTTGCATAATTGTAAACCGGACTGAAACTAAAACATGCGGAAGAACAAAATTAGCAAAACGTATAAGGACAAAGCGGTTTTAGTCATGAGCTGTTTGAGAAATGGCTATTAACCTTTTTTTTCCATTATGTTTTAGCCACAATGAAAAGAAGAGCCGAAGGAACGTCAGCTGCAGTAATGGCAGCAAAAATAAGTCGCGAGGACAGCAGCTCGGATGAAGACTCACATCTGACCAGACAAGGTCGAAACATACATTTAATTTTACTTCCGCTAGGAAAATAAAATATAACTGTACCCAAGTTTGGGCTGCAATTTCTTGAAAATTTCTTTAATATGGAATATCAGTGGGAAGGAAATGCAACGTGCTTCCTGCTATTGATCCACTCAAATAGAATAGCGTGTATCGTCAGGTTATTATTCCATAACCTGTACTGTCCTTTACTGTACAGACTCCAGCCAAAATGAATCACTCAGCGACCCTGAAGATCACAGACCAGGGTTCTCCATGCCCTCCATATCAACCTTTGGACAAGACACGGACAACACGGATCAGAACTCCTCAAAGTTCTCCATGTACAACAGTGTGTCACAGAAACTCATGGTACACATCTTACTGTGTTGGTTATGAGGCCTTCACCTGAAATCTGAATTATTTGGAAATGTTTGTTTGTTTTGTTTTAAAGTTTCTCATTAAATTAACACATTTCTTAGGCAAAGATGGGTTTCCGTGAAGGAGAAGGTCTGGGAAAATTTGGCCAAGGTCGCAAGGAAATTGTGGAGGCCTCTACACAGCGAGGTCGAAGGGGTCTGGGTCTGACACTGCAGGGCTTTCAAGGGGAACTCAACATCGACTGGCGCGATGACACAGTGGTGAGTAAAACAGAATAACAAACCTGTCATTTTGTTTTACTTGTACATAAGCTTTGTAATTAATCCTGACTAATTAACAGGTCACAGGACGAATACTGAATGAATAATTCCTCTTTTTTTGTCTTTTGTATTCTGTCCAGCCAAGCGCTGTAGAGAAGGTAGACTGGTTTCCAGAATCCACCACAGAGACCCCAGATGCAGATGAGCTCAGGGACTGGATGATTCTGGGGCCGGTAAATTAAACATAAAACATTTGTGTATAATGAATACCCACCTGCTCCCTTTTTTTCAAATTAAACACAAGTTGTAGTTGAATGTTTGATTTTGGCTGCTTGCAGAGAAAGCTGAAGATTGAAGATGAGACAGAGTTTTGCACCGAAGATCTGTTGCACACACTTTTGAGGTGTAAGGTGGGTTGTAGTACAAAATATCTTCTGGTCAGGAAGATAACAAGGAACTCATTTTGTGTGAATCCTTAATCCATCTGTGAAATATTCCCAAGTTAATTTTTATTTTATGTCTGTTGTTTGTGTTCAGACTGTATTTGATAATCTGGAAGGAGAGGAGATGAGGAGAGCACGAACGCGGTCCAATCCTTATGAGACGATCAGAGGAGGCATCTTCCTTAACAGGTCAGTCTTTCCTGGTTTTTCTATTTTGTGAGCACTTGTAAATACATTTATGGTTGCCTGTTTTGGCTTGTCAGCTGTGGTAAAAGTCACAACATTTTTTTTTGCACGCAAGTATAAATGAAGTAGTTTGACTAATGTCAAAAACAGATTTTAGGATCACAGTGACAAGTTGTCTGCTACATTGGTTTTCTTTACAGAGCAGCCATGAAGATGGCGAACCTCGACCACTGCTTTGATCACATGTTTACAAACCCAAAAGACTCTAAAGGGGTGAGTGACTTAAAAGGTATTTACTCCTGCGGTTGGTTCTACAGCACCAACCAGTGACACCAAACAAACAGATGGACAAGACAAACTCACGTTGGCTGCTGTTATGTAGAATCCTCTGACTAAGGACCGTGACGGCGAGCTGCTATACTTTGGCGACGTGTGCGCCGGGCCTGGAGGCTTTTCCGAGTACATCCTGTGGAGGAGACGCTGGCACGCCAAAGGCTTTGGTATGACGCTAAGGGGACCCTGTGACTTCAAACTGGAGGATTTCTACGCTGCCCCTAGTGAGCTGTTTGAGCCATATTATGGTATGTTGGTTTTCAATAAATAAATAATAAAAATAATAAATAAATAATAATAATAGCAGGATGACTGGGTATTCCAGGTGAAGGAGGTGTGGACGGCGATGGTGACATCACACGGCCTGAAAATATTACAGCTTTCAGAAACTTTGTGCTAGAAAACACCGATCGACGAGGACTGCACTTCCTAATGGCAGACGGGGTGAGACTTTTTTTTTCTGCTACAACAAAACCAATTCTGAGGAACTTCTAGTCTGACAGCTGTTCTTTTGCTGTCCCAGGGTTTTTCCGTGGAAGGTCAGGAAAACATCCAGGAGATCCTTAGTAAACAACTACTGCTCTGTCAGTTCCTCACAGCCATCTCTACACTCCGGACAGGTGGGCTTTTAAGAAGAAAACAGGCATATTTGTACATTCAATTAATGGCTTTTTGGAAGAGATGGATGAATTTGATGCTGGGTGTGGACAGAACACCTTCCTGGCGAGTGTTATTGATTGCGATTAAATAACTCCACAAACGGCCACAGAGTTAGAAGTAATGGTCTCAACTTTGTTTGTCTTTGTTAATTACAGGTGGCCACTTTGTTTGTAAGACCTTTGACCTTTTCACCCCCTTCAGCGTGGGCTTGGTCTATCTGCTCTACCTCTGCTTCGAGAGGATCTCTCTGTTCAAACCTGTGACCAGCAGACCTGCAAACTCAGAAAGGTTCTTAATTAAATAGATGATCTGTGGGTTTCAATGCTCAAGCAGAAAAAAAGTAGAGCATAGAAAAATCTCAAGTTATGATGCCTAATACAAACCAGTTGACAGAAAAAGTCCCTGATCCTGATTAAGTCAACAGACATACATATTTTCATTAACGTTTCAAGTAAAGTGAGTCCAACTATTACTGTGTTAATCATCTGTTGACATTTTCCTGCAGGTACATCGTGTGCCGAGGTCTGAAGCCTGGTTCGGACGCCGTCAGGGAGTACATGTTCAGAGTGAACCTGAAGCTGAACCAGCTGAAGAACACTGACAGAGATGTTACTGATGTGGTTCCACTGAGCATCATCAAGGAGGACACGGACTTCTATCAGTTCATGATCAACTCCAATGAGAAGTAGAGAACCACAATGTTCTCCAACACCTTTATCTTTAAATGAGATATTGAGGCTCGGACACAGCAGTGAGTTTTTTTCTGTCTCTCTCCACAGCCTGTGTGCAGTCCAGATCAAGGCCTTGGCCAAGATCCACGCCTTTGTCGTAGACACGTGAGAAAGCTTCCTGTTATCTCTACTGCAGTGTAGGAGCGTGTGAGATTGTGTTGGTGTCTGGATCTGACTGCATGACTTTCTGTCTGTGTCTGCAGGACTCTGTCTGAGCCGAGGCAGGCCGACATCAGGAAGGAGTGTCTGAAGCTGTGGACAGTGAGTAGAGAAGCATCTGGATTTTAAAACAAACATCTTTAGTTTTCTCCCTCTTCATAAATACTTTCACTTTCTTTTTTCCAAGGTCCCTGATAAGGCCAGAGTCACTCCTGCTTCCTCGGACCCAAAGTCAAAATTTTACGAATTTATAAAGGTCACTTAGTTAATGTAGAAACAGTGAAATACAATGTGAAATAACAGTGGGAAAAAATCATGGCAACGATTTTAAGAGTTCCAGATTTTGATGAATTGACTCAAAAAAGTCTGTCCTTTTTGTTTACTTCAGAATTCAGATGCTGACTCATTTCACAGCAAACTTACGCCTCTTAACTTAACTACACTTGAGAAGATGCGACACATACTGGACCACAGGTGCATCGTGGGAGGTGGAGAGCAGATCTTTCTTCTAGCACTTGGAGTGAGTTTGAGTTGAATATTTTTCACTGTCCTGCTTTTACACCAATTTGGAAAACTGCTTCAGGATCCACTTTTAACTGCATTGAATCAGTTCCCAAAGTGAGGGACGAGTCCTCCTATATGTTTATGGAGTTTCTTGGCTATAGCTGTGAACATGGTGGCTGAAGGGCCCAACAGTAGTCTTTTCTACTGTAATGCTCTACCTCTATTTCCTCGTTATTTGTGTAGAAGTCTCAGATTTACATTTGGGATGGGAAGATGCCCGTGCGCTGGAGAAAACTGGAGAATTTTAAGCTAGAGCTGCCAAGAGATACGCTTCTAAGTGTGGAGATCATCCAAGAGCTCAAAGGCGAGGTGAGAAGATGGGAATAAAGTGACGAGTGTTTTAATGCTACACCTCCTTTCACTTCCTGGTTTATGAACATACGTCGGCTTGTCTTCCAGGGAAAGGCTCAACGCAGGATCAACGCGGTTCATGTTATGGATGCTCTAATTCTCAACGGCACCGATGTCAGAGATCAGCACTTCAATCAACGGTACGTCTGATGTGAGAAAATCTCTGTGAAACACGCTGAGAAGTATTTGAACTATGAAAACTCTGCCAGTTTTGACAGACATTCCACGTCTACGCCTAGTTCACTAACATCAACTAAAACCGTCATCTTTTTGTATCCAGCATCCGAATGGCTGAAAAATTTGTGAAGGCCGTGGCCAAACCCAGCAGGCCAGACATGAACCCAATCAGGTACGTTCATTTATAACTCCTTCTGAGTGTGGTTTACAGATCATTGTCCCTGATGGCAGGAACATGTGATGGTAATAGGTAATGTCAATGTCTCTCTACCAGAGTGAAGGAAGTTTATAGGCTGGAGGAAATGGAAAAAATCTTTGTCAGGTAACACAGTCAACAACATGGGATAGAATTAATGTCAAGTTTTTCACTCTTTCTGTCAGATTAAGGTGACTTTAGTTCTGTGTGACTTTCTGATCCAGACTGGAGATGAAGGTAACAAAAAGTTCAGGAGGAGTCCCTCGTCTGTCCTACACAGGCAGAGACGACCGACACTTCCTCCCTACAGGACTCTACATCATCAAAACCATCAGTGGTGAGTGTGTGTGTGTGTGTGATTGTGTGTTTTCTGCACCACTTTGAAGTGTTTAATGTTCTTTCCTTTGGTCTTTCAGAGCCGTGGACATTAGCCTATAGCAAGAAGTCCAAGATGAAGTTCTTTTTTAATAAGAATACCCAGCAGTCCACATATGTAATGCCCCCAAACAGTGCTGCTCCCTTCCAGTAAGTTCTGTTCTTGGAATAAAACAGCAGTGAATTTCGTTTGTTTGTATTTAATAAATATAAACCATATTTTTGCCCTGTCTAAATCCACAGTGTCTGCCACTCAGAGCGTCTCTTTTGGGCCTGGGTTGATGGGGTCATAGTCCACGACTCTCAGACACGGATGGATCCTGAGAAACTGTCCAAAGACAATGTTCTGTCCTTCATCCACCAGAACTATCAGCCGTGAATCTCTGCTCTCAGAGTCCAGTTCAGTCAGTCAGTGTAGTCACCTCAAACACATTGCACTAAACCATGGACAACTTAGTTCATTATTCTAATGTTCAGGAACATTTTTTGTTTTACTTACATTCAATTTCAGGTTGTAATGATGTGTTGCGGACTGGTCAGTCTTCCTTGTTGCCCTTTACCGGTCAGAAACTGATGACCAAGCCTAGGCTGGAGAGGTGTCTCTGAAGAAACTGGTGTTTACCAATCATGGTCTGCTGTGTTGGTCTCTGTGGACATTGGAAAGAAAAACAAAAGACAAAAATCAATGTTCTGTCTCCAGGTGCACGTTCTTGCTGTTTTTTCTCTTTGCTTTTAGTCGGTGTAAAGTTATTCTGTGTTAAGACACATCAGATGTAAAAAGGTGTTGTCTTATCTGCTTTGTTTTAAACAAGCTCTTCTTTGTTTCCTAAGAGTCAAACACATCAAGTCGCTCATTCAGGTCTTCATTCATCATTTTTCAAGACAGTTTCACTGCTCAGTTTCAGATGTAGCAGATATATCTCCTTTTATAACTTGCCTTGTGTTGTTGTTCCTGTTCCTGCAGCTGTGCTATTTTCCTCTGGGAATATTAGCCATCAAGTCTTTTGATGTAAATACTAATGTAGTGAATAAAGGGTCAACCAAACATGCTGTGTGTCCTGGTGAAATTAGAACTTGTACAGTAGAATAATTATACTTCAATGGATTGAGAAAAAGAAATCCCTTCACCCTTTTGTATGTAAAAGGGTAAAAAGAACTGTTTAACTGAACAGAACTAATTCAATTAATTTTGAATAAAGTATTTTTACTTACAAAGATAATAGAAAATACGTTAAACTAATGAAACAAACTGAAGTATGTGAAATGTTAAACAAAAAACATCTCTCGGCAAAATTGGCTCAAAATACACGCCAGTAATAGCTATCTACTTTAACACAATAAACGGAACATGTTTCCCATTATTCCCAAGTGTGACGCATAAATGATGTCATGCCTCACAGCCAATCAGGCCCCAGCTCCCTGGTAACCGGAAGTTACTGAGTGTTACGAAAACACCAAATAGTCGCAGCGTTCTGTGTCAGCGCCTGTTGAAGAAGTCATTTAACAGGTAATTGTTTCGTCTTTTCCTCGACTTTTGCAATTGTTTTTTAAAAAGAATGTACTATGTAGTATGGCTTTTACCTACGCTACGGCGTATTGGAGAAATAAATGACTAGTTTTCTCTGAGATGCGCTGATAACAGTCACGTGACACTATGTGACAAGATCAGCACCTTTTTTGACAGGAATTATGTTTTAACATGTTATAGAAAGGTAGGGGAAATCGCTATTTTCACATTTTTTTGTTCTCTGAAAGGTGACGTGTTGAAGCTGTTGATCAGTATGTTGAAGGCTGTGGGTCAAGCTCTTTTCTCCACGGGACTACAGAATCCAAAATTCATTGTAGTTGAGAAAAAGGTAAAACATTTGCCCGACGATTGTGAAAAACAATTCGTGTTAAACCTTTGAACCCACGTTCTTGTTAAATGCTGGATTTTTAGCCACTAAGCATAAAATGTAATTCTGAACATATAACTTTAGTGTTTTAAAACCTGTTTAACCTTTAGAACCAAAGTAAATCACTAAAGGCAAATACAATGTAAAGCTGAAAAAAATCGAGAAAGGTAGTTGTGTAAACATCACAACAGTTAAGTAAATATCCAGCTAAAATAAATCTCTCTTTGGTTCTGTTGACATCAGTGACATCCACCCTTGTCTGTTTGACAGGCGGAGGACTATGAGATTCGGACATACCATGCCTGTAAGTGGGTGAGCACCACTGTGAGTGGGACACAGATGGATGCATCCATCAGTACTGGCTTCCGCAGACTCTTCAACTACATTCAAGGCAACAACCAAAACAGTGAGTTTCAGCAGTTAGTGGAAGTGTGTGAATAATCTTGGCTGAAGAAAAGAGGTGGTGAATAAATTCAAGAGAACTATGACTTTAGTTGTTGCTCAGCAGTTTGTATCAGCTCCCTCCTCTTTGTCTTACTCAGCACTTTACACCAGTCTTATGTATGAGAATGGATATTGTTTGTGTATTTGAGTGGCAAGGGGAGGTCTGCTGAGTTGTTCAAGTTGTTTTACTTTTTTAACTCTTCCTCTCTGTGAACTGTACTCTTGTAACCTCAGAGGTCAAAGTGGAAATGACGGCTCCTGTGTCCTCCCTGGTGGAACCTGGAGAAGGACCCGCCTGTGAGTCACGCTTCACAGTGTCCTTCTACCTCCCAGAGGAGCATCAGGCCAGTCCTCCAGAGCCCAGCAGCCCAGAGGTGTTTGTGGAGCAGAGGAAAGAGTTCACAGCTTATGTCAGGTACCAATTCTTCTCATTTCAATAGTCCTGGTTAGCCTACGACAAGTGGTAGCAGTACAACAGAGGTGATCTAATGCTTATCAATCTCTTTCTGAAGAACATACAGTGGTTTCTCCAATGAGAACATGAAGCGTGAGGAGCTCCTGAAACTCCTGGAGAGCCTACAGAGAGACAGCATGCCGTATGTGGACAAGCCATACTACGTTGCAGGCTACGACAGTCCCTTCAAACTGACCAACCGCAGGAACGAGGTCTGGGTCCTGAAGAAGGACGGAGAGCAGAAGTAGAGGGTTCTGAACCTCACACAGCTGCCAAACCTCAATGAAAAAATCTTTTTTAATTTACTATAACCAACATAATTATATTTCTATAATTATATATATTTCTGAAAGGTGTCCAAACAGTGTTGAACAGAGTGTTGTTGCTCAGCCCGTTATATTAGCTCAGGGAGAGAAAAGGAAAAAACACAGTGGCTGCAGTAGCTCAATAAGTCCACCTGACGGCGCCAATAAACCAAAAGACGCTTCGCTCTTTTGAAGTTTTTAAAAATATATATTTAAATGGCATCAACTGCCGTAACGTGTTGCTTGATTTCTCATTAAATTAAAAAGGGGAGCTTGAATTCATAGACATTTAGATCTAAAGTCTGGTTACAACGAAACACGAGGAAAAAGAAAAGTAATTAATACGTTTGACTGATCCCACACGTCACCTGCTGACGTCACTGTTCACGTTTATAATTACTTTTACTGTTTTGTGATACATTTTTTAATTGTGATACCTTCAATAATAAATACTATTTGATGAAACGTGAAATGGCTGGTTACTGAGTATTTAAACCCTTGTTTCTACTGGGTCATTGTTGGAATAATGACCGATCTGCTGGTTTCTACTGGGTCATTGTTGGAATAATTACCAATCGGATAAAGTTCCACTTCCTGTCCCTCCCTCTGCTCTGATGTTGGTGACTTTAAATCTATCAGATCACGTCCTCCCTATGGTTCACTTCACATTGTATCCCCTCTCACCTTCTGGCCATCGTCTGTCTGCCTGCCGAGTCATCAGTTTCATTTGTGGCAGATTTGTTCCCTGTATCGTGTTCATCAGACATTAGACAGGAGACGGTCTAATGTACGTGTCTGGATGTTTCTAAATCACCGCAGATAAAATAACCCTCCAAATGAAGCCCGGTGTTTCACTTCTTCGAAACATCCCCCAAAATACAACAGAGTAAGACAAACAATTTTTAAGTTGTAAATATTTCAAGAAAACAGCTTTATTTGCGATTTAGCGTTAAAATGAGGCAATATTAGATATTAGGAAAGAACATGTGATAGCTTCAGCGCCCTCCAACGACCCTTCAAAGGAATAACTGGTAGGTAGTTGAATGGTTTATGTGGCGTTCAATTCCCTATAATTAAGTAGTTTTTCTCTGTTATATCGAACTGCTGGTCTGTCGGACTAAAAACTGCCCAGTGCCGACAGACAGTTGATTGGCCTTCATTTATCACAGTCACCCATTCTCTCTGACGACATAAACCCCCGACACCAGGACGGAGCCACCACTTCACATTCATCTCTTCCATTCATACCCACAGCTACAGCACAGTCCACTGAGGGCTACAGTTCAGCATTTGTCTGCGTTCACTGTCAAACACACTGGGAGAACGCAGCGGTTCAAACAGTGTTCCTCCTTTACAACCAACAGCATAGAATAAACACAGCAACAACAACACGAAAAACAACAAACGTGACATAACTAAATAAATAAATAAAACCCCCTCCGCTCCCACTTATATGAGGTGAGGCGTCATTACTGTGATTGACCTCACCTGTGACCGCTCTCCCACCTGCTGCTGGTCGATGGCCGATGAAGCGCCTCCACAGGTGTGTGTGTGTTATTTTCTATGCTTTTTGCAGCTGGAATTGTTAAGTGACTGAGTCACAAGTTACTAAATGAGTATGAATGGAGGGTCGAGTGAAGAACAAGGCTGTGATTCACAGTACAGTCCTCTCTCTGACAGGATGTCTTGGAGGAGATGATGACTGATGACCCTGAGTGGAGCAGCGGGGAAAATGATGTCCTCTGTGGAGATTTTCAGATGATGGATGGGTTTTCAGCTCCACAGTGGTTACTAATGAGGCGGTGATTTGGGCTGGAAGCCCGCCGGGTGGTGGTGAATCATCCAGAGAGAGAGGCGGAGACACACACAGACACTGAGGCTTTTATAATATCTCTAATTTTATCACAAAAGAACATTAGCAGCTCTGTCTCTGGCTACGGGCTCAGCACTTCATCTCCTCCTCTTCTTCCAGTCCTATGCAGCTGCGGGTTTGAGCCACAAGAGGGCGTCACTTTTTGCCCGGACCTCGTTGTTGGCGGAGCTAGAACCAAACAACCGACAGCGTTTCTTAATAAAATCTTACCATAAAATGTGTACCTCCGCTGAACTGCCCTTGTGGAACATGTATAAAATAGATACCCTGCTATAGATGGAAAACGAATTAAACAAATAAATGAATGATGAATAACGATAATACTGATTCAAAACAAGTTAACATCGCAACCGGAGTGAATTCTAGGTTTATATCTGTGATGATGATTGTCAAACACTTGTAGAGTGCAGTCGATTGTGCTCATTGTGGCCAGCAGACGGCGACATTGTGCAGAAAACCCTTTGGCCGGTTTAGTGACGTTTTAATACAAAAGGTGGATAGTAATATATTGTAATTTTTGGCAACAAATACAAACACTGAAAGTCATATAGAGTAAACTCTGCTGTCTTTTGCACTTTTGGACAAATCCTTCAGTTCCAAACACAAGGTTTAACATAACTTGTTTATTAAAACCATCCTTAAAACATACTTTTTATGTCACAGAGAAAGGACCTATGCACAGTGCAAAAATCTACAGACTAAAAGTCAATCAATAGAGGTTTCACAAGTCCTTTTTTATTCATATAAAATAAATCTGCTGTTTTGGTTGAGTCCCCCCCCCCCAAAAAAAAAACACAAGGTGGCAGCACCGTTGCCTTTCACACCTTCTGTAGACCGTTAAACGAAGCCCAAATGAGAACCACTGAAATGTAAAAGCATGAAACAGAAACTGAGCGACTGGTGACCGTGTACCGAGGACATGCATGCTGTGCCGCGTTCTCCAGCTCCATAACCAACAGGAGGAAAATACGAGGCAACAGACATTTGACCTGCTCACCTTAGCGTTCCACTTTAGCACCACAGTAGCAACTTTTCAGTTCCTTCAATTCACCTAAGTTTTCCAACTTGTCCTTTTAAAGAAACGTTCTGCCTTCCATACGTTACAGACAGGATAAAAAAAAAACCCAACAACAGGTAAAGAAGTGGAAAACAATAACAGTTTCCCTAGTAACGCAAGGGATAACCATGGGAGGATGGTGAGAGCTGCGGAACGACTAAACCAGTTCTCAACCTCAGAACATGAACGGATTGACGACGTCCTCACACCAGGACCTGACAGGTCCGGTCCATCAGTGGCAGCACAGAGGCTCAAAAGCATGACTGCAGGAACCTTTCTCAGCTCCTGATTATATAAAAAAAAAAAATTTCTTCCTGAATTCACGGGACTTGCTTTTTAGCTTCTGCTCTCTTCAGATAAAGTGCCGTTGGACCCTTGAACCACAGGGACAGTCTGGACTGTGGTCCCAGAGAGAGTCTCTGTTGTGTCTCCGTACTCGCTCTCAGCCAGCTCCCCCTCGCGCTCACAGATAACAGTCATCGGGCTGCTGAGGATACGGTTGCGCATGTTGTACTTGCTGCTGGCTGCAGAGGGCGGCGTCCGAGAGCGTCCGTACCTGAAGCCACTCATTGAATACATGGGTGAAGTGGGCGAGGACAGGCTCCACTCGTCTGTGGCGCGTTTGCTACGTCCGGGGGAGGCGCAGGGGCTGTGGGGGGCTTTGGGGGAGGAGGGAGAAGCTGTGGGTTCTAACGCTGACTCTGACTTTGTTCTCTGGAAGCGAGGGGCTGTGGAACGAAGCATCTCGGCAGCAGACATCCTGAAGCTTGTCTCGGAGCGACTTCCTTTCTTCAGGAGAAGGGCCTTGAAGGTGTCGCTGCTGGTGGACGACTTTCGCATGTTGCGTTGGATGGAGCCTGTCTGTCTGGACAAAGAGGACGCCAGGCCTGGAGACGGGGTCATGGGAGTTGTATATATTGTGGGAGTTGAGGGAGTTGAGGGAGTTGCGGGTGTTGAGGGAGTTGAGGGAGTTGTGGGAGTTGAGGGGGGAGACTGTGGTTGAACCCCAGACCGAGACTTGTCCTCCTCTGACTCTCTGCGACCCAGGACCTTTCGCTTTGACCTGGGAGATAACAGAGAAAACAGAGAGAAAAATAAAATACATCGTCTAAAACATCGATTTATTTACAAAGGATTCAGCTGTTTCAGGATGGTTCATTTTGAATATGTATATATAAGTTTTTTTTCTTACCCCTGTTTTACAGCTACAATAAATGGAATATTAAGCCTTGTGAATGGAGGAAGGAGAAAATGAGAAAGCCCTGAACAAACTGAATGGGTACTAACAAGTGCAGCTAAAGGAACCGCAACACTGCAGTTTCTGCTGCGAGGCAGAACAAGGAAATTAATCAAAAAAACACAAACTGGGAGAAGTGCCCAAAGTGGCTCTAATTCAGCTTCCTCTGGGGTTTCAGAGTTGACTGCACCACTGTCAATACCACATGCACTGAAGCACAGTAATAAAGCTGCAGACGGTGAATACAGGAGATTAGAGTAAATGAGAAACGTTTGATTAAACCGTAGTACTGGGGCTCTCACCCTGCAGGATTACTGCAGCTGATCAAAGGTAACATGGGGGATCATTTAGGATTGTCAATTAAAGAAAAGCGGCTTCCTGTGACTCTCCATCTCTGTGAGAGACACTGTGTCCCAACTCTGCAAAGAGCAGGAGAGAGACCAACTGTTAAAGCCCTGAAAAAACAGATGGTACGATAAGGAAAAGATGTGCTCCAGGTAAAAGGAAGTGGGAAGAACGGAGAGAAGTCAAATCTTGAATTCTCAAATTAGATCTTTTTTTTTTTCTCCTCACAAGTGAGAACAAACGTGTGAAGGTCAAACGAGGTTTTCACAGACTCTGCCTCCTGGTTCAGAAACCAGCCCTTGGCCTCAATTCAACCTCCCTCTCTCTCAGTATTTTTGTCACACACACCTGAACTCAGTCAGCTGAGGCTACAGCCATAAGCTGAAATCACCTGGCAGTGACACACGATCACACAACCAGAAACAACAACAGTCGTACTGCGGGGGTGCCGATCTCACTAACGCAGGTGAACGACGCTGCTCTGTAAAAGACGGTTCTAAGAGCTTTATTGATTTCTTGGCGATGTTACATTCGCTGTGTGTAAGTGCCTGTCTCCCTACAGACAAGTTGTATTTCCTGAAGCGGCCGCTGCTGCGGCTGTGAAGGCGTTTCATTCAAAGCGGTTCATCAATCTGTCTTAGATAGAGACGACGGTGAGAGCAGAGCAGGGAGCTGAGGTCCAGCAGCGGTTCATTCAGATACAGCTCTGATGTTTGGGGCGAACAGGTGATGCCCTCCTGTCTCAGCCAATGGATGTGTAAAGGAAATCAGTAGAGTTGAGTTAGCAACCAATCAAATCACTGGCTTATATTATGTTTTATCCTCGACTTAACCAATAGTCATCATCACTTTATAAAGACCTGACGACTGGACTTTTGACTTTATCGTCCAATTAGTTAATGTCAAAAAATCAGAAGTCATTAATGGACTGGTACACACGTCTCTTGGACAGGTGAAGTACACCAGGTTTTTCTTATATGAATATTGATTGAAACAAACCTCACATCTCAGATCACGGGCAAATCACACCTACACACATTGGACTGCCACCGTCAACACACACACACACACACACAATCTGTGGCTTGTGCAGAAATGAAACTCTGCGACGCTCAGGTCGACACCGGCTGCTGCTGCTGTGAAACACGTGACCGTGAAACACAAACTGACGGGCAGCATGAGAAATTAATGTGCGCGCTGCTTCCGCTGAAGCCCGGACTCACGTATAGAATGTAAGGCAGAAACGACAGACCAGAAATAGACGGGAGGAAACCAGAAGGAGCGGGTCTCTCTGGTGGCCTCTAACCTAGATTAGGACCAGAGGGTGTTAAGGAGCTAAATAATGGATGAAGCAACAGTCTGTTCTCGTGCCAAGAATGAAAAGTGTTAATGTGACTTTAATAAAACATCGGAGCACTGACTCAAACTTATAGTAAATTGATGCCTTTGTAGGTTTTTTTTATATTCAGTAAAATCAGACAAAAGAAGTAATAGTTTTTTCCTGGGTCAGTAAGACCCCAGAGTGGTCTCAGACGGTGCTAACAGATGGAACCACGCTGAGAGGAAACATTACTGTGAAAATATAACAGATAGTTGCTGCTGCTGGAGGGCGGCAGGAGGAGAACAGAGATTGAGTTCAGGGTGACACAGTGGTTTATGGGGGGGGGAGGGGAGAGTAAGGGTAAGATAGAGACAGACAGCTAGAGAGATGGAGACAGAGACAGACAGGAGGCAAGACAAGAGGAACTGAAGAGGAAGAAAACTCGATCTCGACGGAAGCAGAAAAAATCAACGGACGAGTGAGAAAGAAGAGACGACAAGAGTTCAAATCAAATAAACGGTACCTGTGGATGGCAGCAAAGAGGTCCTCATGGGTACGGGGTCGCGTGGGAGTCGGGGTCACCATCTTCTTCTCAGGAGCCCCGTTGGTGGACGGGGCCGGAGACGATTCTGCCGTGCTGGACTCAAACACCTCACCTGACGCGGAGAAACACACAAGTTAAAAACATACTTCAGGTCAGGGACTGCGCTGCGTTTAATGCAGAGATAAAGATGACACGTAGAGAACCACACGTAGAGAACCACATGTAGAGAACCACACAGGTGCAGGTCTGTCCTCTTACATCCTTCTCCCTCTTCTCCTCAGAGCTCTGCGCTCCTAACTGCAGGCTCTCTCTCTCTCTCTCTCTTTACACTCTCCCATCCTCCTCTTTATCCCCTTACTCGATCCGTTCCCCTCCCCTCTCATATAATCCAGCCCCTCCCCCCTCTCAGTCCAACAATGACAGCAACTCCCTTGGGACAGTTACCCCCCACCCATACCCTAACACTGAGAGACAGAGAGATGATCCGGGACAGAGAGGTTGTGTTGGACAGACATTTATTCATCTTTGATTCACTGTCCTCAAACCTGTTTATTTTATTATCATTACTAACACTGTGTCCATTTGTTGGACATGATCTGACTGTTTGTGTCACTGCCAAGACCTGACCTCATCATTCATGACACTGCTGATACTTCGATGCCACCACAGCTGTTTATAAAACAGCTTTTCTATTCTGTCTTCTCATATTTGCTACATCAGTTAGCATGTGTTTAAATGAAAACACTAAAAGGCAGAAGACGCTCAATGCTCCACTCTTTCATGTAAACCTTTCTGCTCTGTAACTGTGTAACAACGGAACACTCACAGCAAAGTTAGGGAAAAGGACAAACCAGCTTTGGCTGTTAAGTCTTCATCAAATGTTATTAAAGCAGTGACCTTTAAATGTCAGAAATCTTTCACTTTAACTTCTCATATACTGTACGTATCAATATTCCCTTTCATAATGTGCTTCAAAGGAGACAAAATAGTTCAGTCACCTGCATCGTCCTCCTTTGAACTGACAGATCTTGTTAGGCTGCTCGTCCCATCTCCCTCCTCTTCCTCTTCCTCCTCCTCCTCCTCCTCTTTCTCTGTCCGTCCATTCACACACAGTCCGTTGTCAGGACTCGGCCTCTGCTCAGGCGACTTCTCTTGGATTTCTGTGAATGGCTGACGACTTTCTTCAAAGGTCTTTGAACTCTGTGAAACCTGCTTCTGTCCCTGATAGTCTTTCCGTGGCTGCGGAGCATCGACACGGTCTCCATCCTCCTGATGAACCAGAAGCTGTTCATCGATTAGCTGTGAGTAGAGAGGTGGCAGGAAAGCAAGTTTGGGTTTCTTCGACACCACGGGGGGAGGCTTCTGTTTGACAGGAGGACTCTTGGAGTTCTGGGATGAACGTGACAGTGATTCCTGCCTTTCATCTGATTCTCCTCTGTAACTCTGCTCTTCATTATTTCTATTACTGACGACGCACTCCAGTGACAGCTCTTCTAAAAGCTGTGACACAGGCGACGCTGAGAGATTCTGTGATTCCTTTTCTGCGGAGCGGTTTGACATAGGACTGCCGTTCAGTTTCTCCAGGGAGAGAGACTTCTCCAGATCCTGGGACTGAGGGAGATCCACTCCATTATCCAGAGCTGCGGTGTGGTCTGAGTGACCGTTGAACTCCTGCTCTGGTCGTCTGATTGAGCGCAGCTGGACACTCTGAAGTGCAAATGGCGTGATGAGAGGTTTGGGTAAGTTTGTGGGGCTGGTTGAAGCTGCTGGTTTAGTGACCTTCACATGTTTCACAGAGGCAGAAGGAGTGTAGGAGGATGGTGGAACCAAAGGTGGCAGAGGAGGAGGTGGAGGAGGACTACATGGGGTGAAAAAGGGAGGTGGGAGTGGAGGTGGTGAGGGTGGACTGGAACTCCTGTTCAAGGTTGAACATGGGGGGATTAGCATTTCTGGGGTTGGAGGAGGGGGGAACTCAGGAGAGGTGGGGGAAGAAGGGTTTGGATGAGACGTTGTTGGTGGTGTTTTTGGTAACGGAGGAGGTGGAGGAGGACTCACATTCGGTGGGAGAGGGGCTGGGAAAGGAGGTGGTGGGCTCAGAGGGGTGGTGGGAGCTGAGGAGGAGAGCAGTAGAGGAGGAGGTAGGGGTGGAGGAGGACCACAGCTTTTGAGAGAGTCTGAAGTGTTGGAGGAGAGGGAAGTGGAGGAGGAGGAAATGGACACAGAGGAAAGGAGAGATGACTTCCTCTCAGGCACTTTGGGCTTGGGTCGATTGGAGGGTGACATGGACCTGACAAATGAGGGCACTGGAGTGCCAGCTGTCGGGGTGTTGGACTGACTGGAGTAGCCACTGGACGGGGAGGTCAATCTGTGCACCCTGTCAGGAGAGGAGGTGGATGCTTTGGGCTTAACAGCTACATCTGCCTCCCTCTTTTGAGACCCAGACTCTGGGATGTTGTTATGGATTTCACCTTGGTTCTGTAATTCTCCTGTCTGAGCCTTGGGTGTCATTTTATCTGGGGCGGGAGGAGGGGTTTGTGCCCTCTGGTCCCCGTTGTTACGAGGGTCATCCATGTAATAACCCCAGGAGTCGGCATAGTCTGAACGCAAGCTGCTGGTGTCACTTTGAGAGGGTGTCACGTGGCAAATCGAATAAACATTAGAGACCCCCCCACAGTTAGCATTAGCTATGAGTGATGCTGCAGAGCTCCCTGCGCTCACGCTACTGTGACTGCGTGGCCTCAGAACCCAGGGATCGTCATAGTCACTGCTGGGGCTGTGGGAGGGAGACGACGGTGACGCCCCTTTACCTTTACCGCTCCTCAGTCCAATCTGCAGACTCTGCTGTAAGCTCGCAATCAAAGACTCATTCAGCATGGGGCTATTTTGCTCCTCAGCCCCAGTGATGGCACTCACTCCCCCAAGTGGCTTTTTCCCAGCTGGTCTTCGTCTCAGAGAGTCTGTGCGGGCGGGCGGCAGTGGGGGCTTTTTGGATTTGCGTAGGGAGATGCTGTGGGACAAAGAGCGCTCACTGTACAAGCTTGCGTTGTCATCCTGATTGGCCATCTCACGGCACTCGTACATGCTGTGTCTCGAAGCCCGTCCGGCTGCTGCGCTGTGTCCACTTGCATGGCCGCAGGAACGAAGACCAGAATCCAGGTGCATGGAGGTGAAGTATCCATCGTTGTCCTGGGAATACAGAGAACTGGAATCAGTCCCGGTCCTAGAGGATAGGTCCAGACTGCTGTACAAGTGGTTGATGGGAGTGGAGCAGCTGGAGGTGAGAGCCCGTTGAGGGACCACCACATTCTCTGGTGTGTCGTAGATCCACTGCTCCTCCGGCAGACAGGATGGAGGCGTTGGGGCCAGGGTGCTGTCTGACTGACCAGACTCACTTGAAGGTGCTCCGTTAACTTGACCGCCCACGTGTGGCGCTTGAGTGGGAGTAGATGTTGCCAAGGCGAGACAGGATGAGCTGTGGGAGAAGGCAGCTGGACTGGAGGTCAGAGAGCCATTGGTATTTGCTGCCAGGCCTGGAGGACGAAGTGTGGGGTAGTTGGAGGCTGGGGAGTTTGAAGGCTGACTGTGGGTGTTGAGGGTCATGACCTCAGTGGAGCTGGACAAGGTGGCATTAGGGATGAGTGAGGTGGAGTAGGTTGCATGTGGTGAAACAACACACGCCGGACCCCCACCCCACTCACTGGACTGAGTGGCTTTAAGTTCCTGAGACTTAGGTCGAGTCAGAGTGGCCAGCTTCGGGGTGCTTCTCATATGCACAGCTGTATCATCGACCTGAAGTTTTCCAATCTGCCTCTGGGGGGTCGTCTGCTCCTCTGCTTTGATAGGAGTGCTGCTGTAGATGGGATCGCAACTGAGTGACACCCTGGCGCCCTGTCGAGGCAGACTGTGGAACCGTGAAGGGTCTCCATTGAACTGTTGCGGCAGCATTAGGATCCCAGATCTGTCATTGCTGCAGATGGATATACTTCCTGTCGAGCAGGAAGTTGTAAGGCCAGCCATCTGAGCAGCGATTCCTTGGCCTCTCTGCGCACGAATCCTCCTCATAGATGGCGGGACAATCTTCACTTCTTCTGTCTGGCAACCAGACTCTCTGGTTTCTGACCGTCGATGCATCGAGTGAATGCTCCCCACTCGGCCCAGGGTGGAGTACTGTCCTGGGATGTACATGGAATGTGGCCGGAGCTCCCCGGCACGTCCCTTGGCTGTTGACAAAGAAGGAAAATGAAATCAGTGTTTGATTGATTAACACATTCCCTTTTATTTCCTTTCAAAACAGATTCTGTAGACTTATCAGATAGACTTTCACTGCTGGAAGGTAATGACCTCAATTTGCTGCTAATGCCTTCTGGTCATCTTCATTAAGGAGAAGAGGATATAAGGAGAGACAGCCAGGAGAGAAAATACACCATACTTTACTCCCCCAGCTATTAACTCTAATATACATGCAGATCGACTCAGCGAGTCCAGGACAGTCATCTGCTCAGACATGAGGCAGCCAGTAAACAAGCACATTAATAGACACAAAACACACAGCCACTTACAGTCACATGTCTCAAAAGGATGCAGATTTGCAAATACAAAGACACACAGATGCAGACGGAGACACCACAGGCACGAACAGAACATACCAGCCACGAAACAATCAGAACAACAAAGGACGTCTAGTGTGTTCCCAGTCTGTTATGCTTTTCCTGTTGATGCTCATATTCCCAAAACATTCCCAGTCTTGTGTCCTTTTTGTTTCTCTACCCCATGTCCTCCCTCTCTCTGGTCCTTGCACACACTCTTGTTCCTCCTTTGCTAAAAGCCAGAGTGACAGCTTGGCTGCTGCGATAGATTAAGCTGCAGGTCTACTTCGCAGGCAGCACTACAGCAAAGAGAGGGAGGGAAGAGGCGCTGGTGCAATAACCCCAGCCCAGTAATCATGACATTCAGATGGTGCCGGCAGCCAGGCACTAACCAGAATGACATTCTCATCAAATACTGCTGTCAGAGACTTCAGTCGTGCGGTGCTAACAACAAAACACAGTGTTAACGTACTTTCTTTGTACTTTTCTAAAAACCCAGCTTTACATATGTTTTCCTTTTTTCAGGGAAGTTGGTGCCCTGCTTCAAAACTACTATCAAAACTTAATATAATAAAAGGGTGAACTCAAAACACCAGATTGAGTTGTACTTGACTTGCCTGCCTGCAGTCCAGGAAACTCTGGTAGTTTCCAGTTGTACTTGACTTGCCTGCCTGCAGTAATGATTGGACTAACCCAATCATTAAGAAGGTTAATTAAGAAGAGACAGCCTGTGTCACAGGGGGAAACTTTGTGTCTGTGCTGAGCTATGATGCTGTTAACAGTTGATCTTTTTCCCCCAAGTGTAAATGCAAATTACTCAATCTCATCAACATGTTTGCATGAGAGCGATGCTACTAAGTGAGACACATATGGAACACACTGAGATAATCACCACTAGGATTAAAACACAGACAGAGAACAATGGCTACACACACTGTGTAACATAGTAATAAAGAAAACACCAGCAGATCTAATCATGACACTTCACTCAGGTTTTCAACAGGCTAACTTCCAATAGGTATCTCATTTGGCTCATGTTATGTTAGTCAGGGTTGAGGCAGACAGGAAATGAGGACACTAGATGTGTGTAGATTTAAGAGAGAAAAGCTGAAAGGACGTGAATGTGTCATGAGGTGACATACATTTGGACAGAGTCATGCTGCTGCTGTGAGCTAACTGTCATGTCAACATACACACGTGTGGCATGAAACAAGGAGTGATGTTTAGGGTGTTGGTACAGGTGGATGGACAGTAGGGGGCCTCCAACAGCCCTACAGTGATCCATACCTAGCTCCAGGTTGAAGTTGTCAGGCAGCCCTGATATAGTCTTTCTGCGTTTGACCTTCTTGGGCCGACGGGACACGGTGTCAGTGTTAATGAGGGAGCGCCGGATGCTGGCCTGTCGGTCAAACACTGCCCCTGGTGGCCGGGAGGGCGAGAGCAAGGCAGGCGGACACACAGGCAGACAGCACTCGGTTAGCCAGTGGGAACAAACTCAACAACATGCAGAGGGTTGTGTATTATTATTATTATTATTATTTATTAAAGCATGCAGTGTTACCAGGGCAGGAATTCTTAAAGGGCCAGGTCCCAGTCTTTACTGATGTGTCTGGTAGATACAGACCAATTTAAGATGATTTGAACTCAAAGTACAAACCTGACTTCCAGAAAACCCAGCACACTTTCTACAAATACAAGAACTAAAAACTAATATTTGGTCATTTGCTGACTTTACTTACCCACTCACATAAAGGATAGTTAAGAATTTTTACTAATAACATTAAACATATAACATTGTATTTGTTGGAAAGTGTACCAGGTTGTTTAGAGAGTAGAGTTTCTGACTATTGTGATTTAACATCCTAGTTGTTAATTACTTCCTAGTGTGTTATGGGGACTTTAGTGGCTGATGGTTCAAATTCCTGCCCATTTTACTATGTATAACAACACTGTACATGAGTGTGTGGAAAACATGCAAAGGTTATTCTTAGATGGGGATGGGAAAAAAACAAAAAACGTACAAACACACACACACAGCAGCCTTTTCAATATAGTTTGGAATTTTCTGAGGGAATTGTGATTCTGGCACATTCTGCACAGCCCTTGTGATATCACAGTGAGTGAGAAGCCCTGAGCCATGAATAGGCTTTACTCACACACACACACACGATGAGGTTAAGGTCAGAAGCTAAGGCAGGGGTGGGGAACCTATGGCTCGCGAGCCAGATGTGGTTCTTTTGATAACTACATATGGCTCTCTGATGAATCTTAGCTGGTACTTTTTAATACAATAAATAATATCGCTGATATTCAATTATAACGTTACAGAAGTCATATTGTTAAAATAATTTTAAAAAAACCATCTCCGTGTATTTGCCGCGGCAGCGTACTCTCTTTGCGTAGTGTTAATTATAACTGCGGTAAAATCGTCATCTTGGTACGTCTGGTACGTCATCTTTTAATTCTGGCATAAAAACTGAAAACAAAGTCAGTCCGTTTTGGAGCAACACACACAGAGGTCTGACTCTTTAAAAATTTAAAGTAAATAACAGTACCGTTAATGATCAAATTAATATAATCTAATTAATTAATGACGGAGGTCCGAACATACGCACCTACCACATGATCAGCAGAGCTCGACTGTTGCTCCCCGGGGTTCACGACCCTGATCAGCAGGGGTGTTGCATTTAATGACCGTACGATAAATTAAGGTGATGTTACGTGATGTGTATTAAACTCTGTTGTATGGCAAGTGGAACCGTATATTTATAACTCTGTTACACATTTAAATCCACAATTAAGTTTTTTGCCCTGGAGCCAATCGCATCAAAACCATGCAGCACCAGAAGTCGCATTAATGGTATTTTATGTATGGATAGTATAACAACGTTATTAATAATAAAAAAAATTAATACTTCAGAAACTTATTATACTCTAAAATTATTGGTCTGGTTTAAAAATGCATACATTCAGTTGTATTCAGAGTTAAAATAAATTATATCTCACAGAAATCCATTTTAAAATAGGTGACTTTTTTGGCTCTCTCTGCTGAAAAGGTTCCCGACCCCTTCATTAGAGTCTAAGGAAATACACAGTGGGTGGAGGCAGACGTCCATGACTGACACACACACTTCTATGCTCTGTGGATGAGTGACTTCTGTTATTAACACATCTATGATCCACTCAAGCAGAGAGATTTCTTTGAAGGAACAGTCTGATCATTCTGTTGGTTGGCCTCGTGACCTTTTGGTGTCTCACTCAGAGATTTACTGCACAATTATGTGTGTGTGTGTGTGTGTGTTAGCCCTATGGAAGTGTGTACTACTGCACAATTATGTGTGTGTGTGTGTTGGCCCTATGGAAGTGTGTATGTTGCTCATGAAGCTTTTTTAATCCTTATTTTCAATCCTTGGTTTATGACTCTGACCTATGAACTCTGTGCTCCCCCTTTTCCCAAACTGTTGCTCATGAAATCCAATTTCTTCAACCCATTTTGCTGTCCTGTCCTAGAACTGTTGTCACCATCTAGGACTGGATGTGTGGAGTCATCATGATCATAGAGAAGTGAGACCAACAACAAAAATGTACCAGAACATTCCTTAGAAAAAACAAAACAAACTGCATGACTGATGCTAAGGGGTGAGACAGATAACACAGATGAAGCCAGATCAAACTCAGGGTTTCAACGTTTCTAACTGATGACAAGAAAAACACCAGGATGTATTTCTCACTACCAACACTAATCAAGACTGATTTCTACTCAAACGGACGCCATGACACAACGACTGCAGTGGTCAGGAGACGCTCTGTACCTGTGACATTGATGGCAACTATGTCTGTCGGAACGGCCTTAGCTGCCTGTCTCATCTTCTCCTCCGGCGTGGGGAGGGGTGTGGCCTTCCTCCATGTGACCTGTCCGTCAAGCTCAGACCCCTCCCTTACTTCTCCCTGTGGGGTCTGAGGCCTCATGGAGAGCTGGGATTTGTCATCCTCTCCGGATGATGCAGTGGACTGTACAAGACGATAAGAGAAGGTGTAGCAGAGACATGAAACACAAGGCTGGAAAAGAACATGAGCGGAACTCAGATTGAAGGTAAATAATACAACAAGAATGTTAAAAACAAGAGATAAAGTCAAATATTGGAACAGTTTGACAGAAGGTAAGGGAGATAACGCACTGCAGAACTTGGTCCAGATATAGGAGGACACAAAAATAGACTTCTTTATATAAACTCTTGTGACCTTTAGTCAATAAAAAAAAACAATAATAAATAAAAAAAATATCTCCATGCCACAAACAGGAATCAACAGTAGAGTAAACAGCAGCAGAGGCAGAAACAATCACTGATGCATGGAGTGTCTCACATGTTTACAGTAATTACTGCAGAGCAGAAACACAACACATTTCTGTGCAGCCCGCAGGTTTACGATGGCCAGTGACAGCAAACTGTCATCGAAACAGCTGGAAAACTGTTGCATCATTTCTTCACACAATTATTTTTGCTGCTGAAATATCCCAAAACGTTTGAAGTTTTGGGATATTTCAGCAGCAAAAATAATTGTCACGTCATCAGCCAAACACATCAGTCTTTATCTGGATTACCAGTTTCCACAGATTGTGAGAGAAACATCATTATTTTAGTTTTGTTCTGTTTGTTTCCATTTCCAAACAACTGCAATAGATTTCTATTTAAACTTTATGCTGACAACCAACCTTTGGACTGGACACAGGAGATGTCAGTGATCTCAGTGATATCAGTGGTCCCATACAGACCAGGCATGGACAGATGGGTAAATAAATCAGAGGCAACTTTTGTCAAAGTTCAACTCTGGGTATCTCCTTTTAATGTTGTCTAAAAAACCGACTGAAGAGAAAAGTAAAAAATGAAAAAAATCTTCCACTACCATTTCTATCCACCGGAGGGCAGACAAACACTGGTTATGCTGAGTCTAACAAAGCAGGCATGGCCTCAAACCTGCACCTCGATGTTCATTTTAACTTGTTCGGGGGGAAAAAATTTGAAGAGGGTTTGTATATATAAATAGATACCTTTTTGTCATGTTCATCGTCCTCTTCGTCCTGCAGGCTGCTGGTGGACTGAAGTGGGTCGGAGAAGGTGGGACCCTGGGAGTAGTACTGAGAGCTGCGGAAACCATCCTTTCTCAACTTGTCACATTCTGCAGAGAGAGATTTTAGAGACTCATGTAGCTACGTTTTTTACAAGACCAAATCTGTAGTGACAACTGCATCAACGTGGGTTCAGCTGTCCTGATGTGACAGTTTCCCTCCTGTTTGTAGGCCACACTCCAGATGTAGTTTACATGTTGGTTATTTGTAGCATTAGAATCCGAAAATCAACAAATGGAGCCCATTAGTTGGCAGGAAACAAGCAAGAACAAATGAGTATAAAACCACAGAATCCTGCACTTGAAGTGAGTGCAGTACTAACACACGATAACAAACACATTTAATATTCAAAATGAAGCCCAATAAAATCCCAGTACAAATGATGTGTGAAATATTTATAAGGCACAGCTGCGTAACACTCCATTACTGTAACACAGTATACAGTTGGCTGTGTGTGTTTCAGTGTGTGTGCGAATCCTCTGTCAGCGAAGTGTGTGTGTTAGCCGCTGCCAAGTTCTGTTCACGCTTTTCCCGTCAACACCTGCCGCCGAGGCTGCGATGTTTGTCTCCGTGCATGTGTGACAGTTTATAAATGAACATGCATGTGTGTGTGTGTGTGTGAGCATGTGCAACCAGAGGAGGGGGGATCAGTTTCAGTCTGTCACACACAGATGGCAAAACTATACGCTTCTCCACCATTGGCCCCATGATGTTGAAGACAATTGCCCCACCCTTTTTTTTCCTCAACCTTCTAATATCAACTGCTAAAGCAAATAAATCTTTATTTTCAGGTTTCAGTGTCCGACTGTGAGGCTGTGTTGTTAGAATCACCTGGCCTGACTCTTATCATACATCATTTTTTATTCACTGCATGTTGCACCATCAAAGCCTCTCATCATTTATTTCTGTCACTTGAAAAAATGTTTTTGATCCCATCCTTCACTGCTGCTAATTACAGCCCATCTCTACGGACCCCCAGACTGGAGTGTGTACTGTACGACACTGACAGTTAATGGATCCTAACAGGCTTCACAAACACAGCCACAGTCGTCATAAGATGATGGGGCGGTCGTGTGGAAGAAGGGTTTTTAGAAAGCATGATGGTAATGAGGATGATGACAGGCAGAAGTACAATTAGGGAATTGTTGATTTAAAAAAAAAGAAATAGCTGTGATAGGCTCAGAGCTGCTTGTTACTAGGCAGAACTGAAGGAGGGGTAAAAGACACAAGCGTGTTCAAATGATAATTGCTAACTCTCACTGGCTTTGTGCAGAATTCAGTACCCTATTGCAACCAAAAAAATACAGTCAGTCAAGTGTTTATTATTGGAGTAGAATTCTAGGTCTTTCTGGCAGTAATTGCCTTGTTGTCCTACATCCCATCTACACTACGTTTACAGGGCTGAAAACCACACCATGTTTAAATAGTGGTTCCCTGCTGATGGGTAATGGTCACTGATTAAACACATGCTTCTCAGAAAACGATTGAAGTTAATATTTCTCCAATTTTTGTGTACACTGAGGTGTGTTGAAATTCAAACTGTGTTTTTTTTTCAAACTACCCCCCAGAGAGGCTTTAACAGTGTGAACCCAGGAGAGGGTTCCAAAAAGAACAAATACATCATGTACCCTACCATGTGACTGGATGTTGAACTTTTGTTTTGCAGAGGAAAAGAAAAACACACGTGTTCACCTTTTTGTAGTCAGACTGGAAGCTGTTTTTTTTCTACGGAAATGAGAGCATAATTTATGTAATAAACTATTACAAGTAAAATAAACTATTTAAGATCCAGGTATTGGCACTGGAAATATTTATCTGAAAATGACTGATAACAAGGAGTGTTTTCTTGTTTCCTAACTTCCTGTAGTGAAGTCAGAATTTTGACAAAGTTGACATATAACAAGGCTAACAGGACAGGTGCCTCCATTAAACACCTGTTAGTTTTCAGTTAGGACCCCTGGGCCTGGGTGGTGGTAGTGGTGTCAGGATACTGGTGGTGAAGGGGACGGGATTGTTCCCACCCCCGCAGGTGGTGTTTCTGCGTTTGTGTCCTCAGCATGAAATTTTCAGGATGTAATGAGCAATCAGTGACAGCCGTGAGGTAGAGACGTAGACAAAAAGCTGCTGTGTGGGCGTCTGTGTGTCTGATTAAAACAGGTGACTCTGAGCCTACACACCGAACGCATCAGCTTACAGCCTCCTCCTCCTCCTCCTCCTCCCTGTCTGTCTGTTTCTCAGTGTGCCTTTATCTCACTATCTTTATCTGTTGACACACAAGGCCACCCCTGTGAACACGCCTTTTACTGTAACACAACACACAAGTGCTCAGGAATATGCAGACACACACCCTTCTACCCTGGTAAAAACACCAGCTCAGGATTCTTTTCTGACGAAAAACTGCTTGAATTATTTTCAATTAAAACAGACAGGAAGACGATGACCTCACACCGCTGTGTTGTTGACTAAACACAGAGTAGGAAAACAGACATGTTGATGTTGACAACAACAGCAGACTGGAGTCTTTTTCTTCTATTGTGTAATAAAATTTGTTGTTACAACATTCCAGAAATATACTGACACCCTCTGTTGTGCGATGCCTCTACCTACACTACCAGATTTATTTCTAGGGCTACAGCTAGTTGTGGAGCCAAGAAAAATCCTCTGAGTTTCGGCTGCCGAGCCCAACTTTATTACTACTAAATTGAATTTCCTAATGTTGGACTAACATGATCAAGGTGAGTCACTTTACTACATGTATACAATAAATGAGACACTCACTGAACTGAATTACTACATGACTGTCTGACTAATGACCAGGAAGTAAGAAAAGCAGCAGTGAAACATTTATGATGTATGACAAATGTGAAATTTTGGAATGTTGTGATTAATTGTTTCCTGGCAGTTAACTTGCTAACTGCTAACACTCACACAACAGCTAACTTTAGCTGTAACTGTGATACCTACAGAATCAGACTGGTTTGACTGTTACAATAATGATGTGACTGTAATTTGTCTCAGGAAAATGTACTAATTCTAACACAATCAACTTAATACTTATTAAGTAATACTACATTAATATAAGTAGATGTCCAAAACAGTCTACAGATCCAGAATGAAGAGTAGATGTTAGACATCGTACCTCTGTCTGTCTTTTTGTTTTGTGGCTGGTAGTAAAAAAAGACTCACCTCGCAGAGTGGTCTTGAGGTTAACTTTGGCCTGGCGGTGGAGGTCTTCTACACAGGGCGGTCTGCTGCCTGGTAGGAAGACATTTTCCTGCTGGTGCCATGGGGCGGTGTAATGAACCGTCCACTTGCTCTCCTCATCAAGGTTGGACACAGCTGGGGAGACACACAGAAGGTACACTTTAAAGTTCTGTACAGCTGCAACAGGGAACGACAGGATTAGAAAGCCCAACCAGCTAGTTAAATAGTGTTTGTTTATATTTGTACAAGAGCAGGAAGAGGAAGGATGGCAAAGTGCTCTGCACCAAGGCGTCAGTTCCCACACCAGTGGGGTGACACTTATCCGAGACATTGCTCAAGTAGTGGGCCACACACCTCTGAGAGAGGGAAAATGCTAGTAGCAACGGCTAAAGACACGACTGCAATCATGTCGAAAAACCAATATAGTCTCCTTCCATATATTATAAACAGATAAACATTCACGCTTACACACAGTAATATTACAAAAAAAGGTTTGAAAATTCTGACTAACCTTTGCTACAACCACAAAAAGCATGAACCACTTTTACAGTTCTCTGTCTTACCAAGTGAACGAATCCACTCTAAAGTTGGTGATCGTGGATGCAGCACTACTTCCATTTATAAAGCCAGCTTTTGTTCAGTTGGCTGGCTTTCTGTGCTTCTTCTCCTGACCAAAACAACATGTCCATCTGACTGGGACAGAGGAGGAAGTCTGTTGGGGCCAGCAGGAAGGGGAGGGGTCATAAAAGGAGCGGGGAGTGTTTTGGTTTTGAGGAGGTTTTCACAGGTGCTAATGAGGTACATTGTAGATGCAGGGTCATTGCATGTGTGGGGGGTGAACAGAAGACTTGAGGAGGTAAAGGTACAGGGCGGGGCCTACCAATGAGTCAATGAAGAAAGTGTGAGACGGTCTAACTGCTGTGAAACTCTGAGGACTTCTGACTGCCTTTTTTATCAGCTTCTGACCAACCATTACTGGTGACCCTAAAAGGCCAACATCCTAATAAAAGCTAAACATAGTTTTAAAGATGGATTTATAGGGAGCACTGCAGTGCACCGTGTCCTCCTGCTGGTAAATAATAATAGCAACTTAATGTCTGTCTCTACAGCTCGAGGAACAGGCAGCCCTTCATTACTCTTCCAGCAGAGAATTCTCATTGTGTTTATTTATGTTCCCTCTACAGAACACCAACAGTGTTGGTTTTCTTGCACCAACAAAGTCTGGTATTTAGGTTTATATATTATATATGTTGCATGCTCAGTCATGTAAGTGTGCAAATACCAGATATTCACAAGAAACAGATAAACAAGATGTTCAGCTTGAGGCTATGATGATACAATCAATAGGCCGTCCCCCCAACAGCAATACAACACAAGGGCACTTCTGCCAACGTGTGCATGGTGTCGCCAGACTAAAGAGAAGGACTGCATGATACATACTAATAATAATATTAATAATAATGAGCTGTAATAAAACAATATCAATACATTTACATGATCTGCTGTAAACACCTTTAAAAACCATATACGTAAATGAGAAGGAGGTGCTTGGAGGTAAACAAAGAGATAAGATCAAACTTTCAAGTTGCACCTGAAGGGTATTTGCCTGCAGCTGCAACTGCCAACGCTGGCTTTCTGAAATCTTCTTCAGCTACTAATAATCCCATGTTTCCTCATTTGGTGCTGCTGTACAAAGTTGCAGTGGATATGTAAATGTCCTAAGTTTTCCTGCACTCAGCACTCAGGTAGCCCTCCCCCACCCACCCTTTAATACTGCGGCTTGAATAGACCTCACTCAGGCTACAGGCAGACCAAGGACATGGGGACTCTGGACACAAAGCCGGTATTGTCCTTCTGCATCGGTCTCCACATCAGGCCTTTCAGTGCCACAATGCCCCCCCCAGCCTCTCAAAACACACTCTCACACACAGGACTGTGGCGCGAATGTCTTTCAGAGGTCCACTAATCCCTGTGTCCACTGACATCAGCTCTCCCAGTGGTCTTTAACAAACACAGGCTGTGGACAACAAGGCTTCTGAAAGAAGAAAAAAAAACTGCTGGACACAGTGCAGGAGGGCAAAATACAGCAGTTCACCACACACACACACACACACACACACACACACACACACACACAGAGTATGAGCTGTCATGGTCAATAGGAGTGATCAAATTGTATTGACAGAACTTGTTAATCCTGAACTGGGTCCCTGATCACAGGTATCGATTACCTTTCATGCACAACACAACGTTGTGTGTGTGTCAGCGGGGTCAACACGCCCTCACATAATGACCTGTGGTTCACAAAATCAAACTGCTTCAATAAGATTACCTACAGTTACAAATATAACATGTGGTATAAAAATATTGTTTGGATGATTGAGCTTCCGTATAAGCTTTTATAAACGGCTTGATTTGACTGTTGTCAAATGGTCATTTGTCCCAATTACCCTGCAAATCCATAACCATAACCATAAGTGCCTTGTGATCTCATCATGACTTGGACCTAATGAACCAGAAGAGACTCTCCAGACGATAATATAAGTGAGGAATTCCCTGTGTGTAAAACCACTGTATATCAATCAGGTGCCAAGGTTATGGCTCAGGAGCAAAGTGTAGACATGTGCGAGATAGCGAGATGTGAAGTCCAACAATCCTGAGCTAATGATTAGCAACAAGACCTCAGCCTCGACTTCAGCTCTTTCACACACAAACACACACACGGTCTTTAAATACACCTGTGACCAGACTTCCTCGTAGTGAAAACAGCCAAAGACACAAACATCATCACAGTCTTCAGCAGAGAGAACAGTTGTGATCTCACTGGTCTACAGCTGTCACCTGCCTAAATGCTTTGGGGTCATTTAGCGCTGATGAGTATCAGATCACTGAGGTTTCGGTCCACTGGTTACCAGGTAACCATGTGCAACGAACCGTAGTGTTTGGACTCAGTAGGAGCAGCAGCAGAGGCAGGAAATCAATTGTTGAAATAAAGTTATTTTGTGAATAAACAGCAGGTGTTAAGGTTCAGGTGTCGATGTAGTTAAAGTTGAATCTGTTACGGAAATTTTTATTTTAAATATTTTAAACCAGGAACTGAACAAAAATGGGAAAGTTAAAAAAGCCACTACATTAAAACAAGTTGTTGTTTTGATGAAAATAAAAACACAAGACATAAAAACAGAATAAAAAAATCTTACCCTTTCTTTTGAAGTATTTAATCACAGATTTCAACGAAGTCCCAATAAACACCATTATTCCTTCTGACTGTGTTCCAAAACTAGCCTTTAAAAAAACTCCAGTCCCAGCGAGTCAGAACAGTGAAGCGGGATGACGGAGCGATGGAGTCGGACCCTCCTGACTTACATTTCTTACTACGGGTCTCAACTCTGTGTGTGTCTGTGTGTGAGTGAGCGTAAGGCACACTCACAGTGAGTTTCTACTCCGATCTGTCTCTCTAAACACACACCCACGGTCTGCCACCCCCATCAGCACCTTCACCGGCAGCCACACTCCTCCCTCCAGTACAGTCAGTCCTCAGACACACACACACACTCAGAGGGAGGGGTGGAGGACCAGCCCCTCTGTTCCTCTGGGCTCTGGTTACCAAGGAGTTGTTGGCTGCCTCGGCCTTTATTTCTCATCTCTCTCTCCCTCTCTCTCTCTCTCCCTTCTTTTTCACACAGCAGGATGTCAGAACATATATGACATTTAAATTTTGAATTTGTAATTCATTTAAAAAAAAATACCTTCATTCAATAATTCATTACAAGTGTCTCATCAAGTCAGTTCTACTGGGCCAGTATATATTTTTGTAAAATACTTTTGTATATGATGTCCACTTTTTTGCATGTTTTTATTCAGGTTTAAATGCTAACATTAATAACATTATATATCATTAGTTAAAACATTACGTTTTTTTCACTTGATATTCTCAGCAGGATGCCATCTTTAGTTGTACACAGTGTGCATCTCTAACAGGAATGATTCCTGTGCACAGTACATGACACACATGCACAGAACTGTGAATTCAAACCTACATTAAACAGTGTTGTTTAAGGCGACATCATATACCTTTGACTGGAAACAGTAAACTGAGCCAGTTATTTCTTTAATTCTTTGTATAATTGTAAGACATGGCCCGTGAATCTGTGCCACATGAATATAGATAACCTACAATCCCCTTATTGTCCAGCTCACTCACAATCTATCAAACACACACACACACACACACATGTTAGTGCAGGGCGGCCCCTCCTTTTGCGGCCGTATTTCTTTTCAGCCCCAGCGGTGGAGGATTTGGAGGCAGAGGGTGGATGTGTGGGAGCCACAGTGACAGCTTGAATAGGTTTGCAAATGATCCTTGAATTTGTGGTACAAAAAAAAGGATTTCCCCCGACCTCCCTCCCTTCCTCTGCCCTAGACCTTGTTTCTAGAACGTCTGAATTGTTCTCAACTCTCATAAGTGCTTCTGTGATTCTGTTCAGTAACAATAACTGCTCTGCACTTGTTGTTCTGAACGACATTCATCAACATTCATCATTATTATCAACACAATTCAAGGTTAGTAATCCTTAAACTCAATGATCTATTAATAGAGGAAACCTGACATTTTATCATGTTGCACAGCTCTTATAATAATATTATGAGCACATCATTACCCTGGCTGTCCTCACACACAGTAGGACAACTCAGTCAATATCTGAGAAAAATCTATGCAACCAAACTGAACGTGTACCAGTACACACACACACACACACGTCACAGTATGACAAGCAGATCAACAACTTAATCTGCAGACGGAGGTCTCCATATCTAGGCCACCTCCCAGGATTAGGACTATCAGAGGGCATTTGGTCGTACATCTTTGCATCCTTTTACCCCTTCACTGAAAAACAGAACTGCCCCCCCCACTCCCACCAGTGAACCCCCACCATAACAATGTTAAATACACATCTGCTTACAGTTCAGGGAGCATGTACGGCCAGCATGCAGCCACAGTGGATGTTGATGTTTGGCAGTCATGGGAAGATTTTTATTATTTCTGGAATACAGCCAGGATGATTACGGTGGCGGTGAAAGGCCTTATTATCTGCCATTACACACAGTTAAACAAGGCAGCAGCTGAAACAGTA